TTTTGTGAAAAGGTTTTGCCACTTCAGAATATATGCCTCAACCTCTTAAGCCTCCAATAGTGTCATCATCAGCCACCACCCAACCATCATCGATGCCGTGTATCTTAGGTTTTTTGACAGCTCCCTCCCACTTGGACATACTTACTTCACCTTCTTTAGGGTCAGCAACCAAAGTGTGCAGATTCTAAATTACCCAATGGCTGGGACAGAGCTGCTTGTAGAACTCTGCTGGCAGAGGATCTGTCATGCCCAGGGTGCCAGGTCTTCTTCATCAGGTCTTCTTCATTCTTCTTCAGCAGAAGAGGAAGGAGCACAGAGGATCGCTGGCGGTGGTTTTCTGAAAGCCAAGTGTCAAGCTGCTGAGTACTTTCAGCTTTCTAACCATTGACTACAACTGGGTCCCCTGGTCACATCTAACTCACTCCAATAGGGTGAGAGATGTAATTCAGCTGTGTGTCCAAGTAGAAGAGGACATGGGAGCTGGAGCGACCAACTTGTCCCCGTTTGCCTGGGACTTTCCTGGTGTGAGCCCAGAAGGCCCACTTCCAGGGAACACCCCCGAAGGCCCAGGTCAACCAGTCCAGCTGATCACTCTGCTGCCTCCCTCACATCCCTCCCCTTAAGAAGAGAAACCAAGTGTCCTGTTTGCATGTCCCCCCCACCCCCATCTGCAGGGACTACCAACTACACATGAGGACAAAACTCAATGCACTAGAGACCACAGGGAAGATGGTTTCCATTGGAATCTAGGTCATCCCTGGAAATTTGGAGCATGTGTGGTGTGACCTTGTAGCACACACATCTGCAAAACGCTGTCTTCGTCCCTAGATGAGTCAGTTCTAAGATGTAGTTATGATGGAGGGAGTGGTACTACCGCGAGCAAATGCCACGGATTTAACAAAAGTTCTTAGAGATAGGTTTGCCAAGGAATACAGAAGCAATTGTTCAATAATGATGTGCAATGATATTTGCATAAGGCAAATTTCGCCAGAAAACAAAGTACCTTGTTTATTTTAAGAGGAGCTGGTGGGCTGTCCTGGAAGGCAAGGACTGTGGCTCGTCCACCCTCCTATCTCTGGCACGTGGAAGGTCTCCAGAGAAGGTTCGGTGAAGAAACACACCCATAGTTACCAGACATCCTCTGCTCAGTTTCTCTAATCAGAAAGAGGAGGGGAGGAGGGGTTTTTTGTCTGTTTTGTGCTGAAGGATGAGCTGCTATTTGGGGCAGGAGCCTGGCTCTTGAGACAGACACAGAAAAGGAGTGGAAACTCCAGGCCTGCGGGCCGCATCAGTAGAGTGGGGGTGCTTTCGTCGGGTTTGCCCTGTCTGAAGATCAGAGCCTGGATTTCTGGAGCTTGAAAAATTGGAAGACCCGGCAACACGACATCTGAGTCCCCGCAGAGGGACAACTGGACAGAGGTAAGAAGCAGCGTCCCCATTAGTTGGAGTACGCACTCTCCAACTGCCACTGTCCCGATCACTTCCCACTGTCTTACCCTCACTGCAGCAAGAAACTTGTCGTAGCCTATAGACATCTGAGTCTATAACACCTGGATTGGGGCACCTGGGTGGCCCCATGGTCTGCCTTCAGCTCAGGTCGTAGGCCAGGAGTCCTGAGATCGAGTCCCACACTGGGCTCCCTGCAGGGAGCCTGCTTCTCCCCCTACCTGTGTCTCTGCCCCCCCCCCGCCTCTGTCTCTCATGAATAAATAAAATCTTTAAAAAAAACCCAGATTAGGGATCCCTGGGTGGCGCAGCGGTTTGGCGCCTGCCTTTGGCCCGGGGCGTGATCCTGGAGACCCGGGATCGAATCCCACGTCGGGCTCCCGGTGCATGGAGCCTGCTTCTCCCTCTGCCTGTGTCTCTGCCTCTCTGTCTCTCTCTGTGTGACTATCACGAATAAATAAATAAAATCTTTAAAAAAAAAAAAAACCCAGATTAAAGCATAGATTTATATTGTAATATTATATTAACTTCGCACATTTTAAAATGGCCACTGAACCTTCCATAGCTATTAATTAAAGCCTGGTTACTAATCCCGGTGATTTTTTAGCCTGACTGGCATTCCATAGCACTGTTTTTCCCATAAGAAAATTAATAATTATATATATATGTATATATATGTGTGTGTATGTGTATATCTATATGTCTCCCACCTGTAATTGTGTATTTACTTCCATCAATAAATTCAAACAAGCACAGTTCTCAACCAATCCCTCTCTAACTCAGAAATGAAAGAGCTGCCATTAGGTATTATTTCTGAGATGAAGAAAAAAATGGTACATTTCTGTCCATGTTCTAAATGGCATTTTTTTTAGACTTTATTTTTAAGTCATCTCTATGCCCAGCGAGGGGCTCAAACCCACAACCCCAAGATCAAAAGTCACACGCTCCACTGATTGAGCCAGCCAGGCACCCCCTAAATGACACTTTTAACGTACTTTTGTCATAAAAGTCACCAGTACTATCAAAAGCTGGGTCAAAAGCTATTAGAAAATAAAACTGCCACGGCTTTCTTCCTACAAAAAAGTACAAAATATATAAACAAAAGAACAAGCGACTCAGAAATAATAGGAAGGCCAGGATTCCTCTAACACTTGCTCGGATCCCATCTCTGTGCTTGCAGCATTCTCCTTAGAAAAATCCTGTGGAGAGAACACGTCCCATTTTGAGCGTTAAGGAAACAGAGAAAAGCAAGTAAAATACCCTGTCTGAGGTCACTGAGTTGGCAACCAGCGGAGGGAGCTACCATTAAAACCAAATTAAGGTTAGTTTAAGAAGTTAAATGAACAAACAAAAATGGTGCTCTCCCCCCTCCCAGAAGTTAGAATAATACAGGAGAGTCCTCTTAAAAAGCAGAGGACTGGAGCATCTCAGGGCAGAACAGAATGTGACCTGACCCAGCTCCTTATTTGACAGGTGCAAGAGCTGGTCTGGGGGGTGCGCTCCCTCTCTTGCCCCCACTTTTCCGCGTGGAGCCAATCCCGACTAAGGGGAGTTGACACCTTCTCCTGGGCTCCGTTACACCATCCCTGCTGCTGGGATGGACCTGAGGTTGATGGCTAAAGGCAGTTCTGTTGTCCGACTCCTGGGAGCTTCCGCTGCTTCTGGTACGTACAGCAAGGCCAGGGTCGTGTCTGTTGAAATTAATTTTCATTTTCTGATTTCAGTTCCAATGAACTTTTTATACGTGTCTTGTGTAAATTTAAAAATTGATTCTGCTGGGGCATCTTCATCACAGAATGACAAATCTGTTTTGAGAGTATGCAAAAAATAGCACAGAACTACTGACTTCTACACATTGTTAATTTGAAACAGAAAGCAGACAGTCATTAAAGTCATGTAAAATTCCTTCTGTGTCTACTTTATTGGAACAACGGTGTCTCCTGCTGCAAATGATGATGTCACGAACACCCAGTGCTGGTTCAGCATTCCATCCCTCTGAAAAATCTTTCCTGCTCCACAGAACCTAAGTGTGATATAATCGATTAAATAATAAACTGCAGGTCATCAAAGGCCAGTAAGCAAGTAATAAAATGCCTTTTTAAATTAAACATCCTGAAATGTCAATCATGTAAAAAACATGTTTAGCAATTGCTAAAATAAACATGAATGGGAAAACATCTTTTAAAGAATTCATTACTGCACATATAGTATTCAGCTCCCAAAGCGTCATGGGAGTCTCACATTTTTAATCAAAAGTCCAAAATTCCATTAAACGATGGAGAAGGATGTTCTCCATTACTTTAATGATGCATGGACATGAAGCCTCCCAAATTTCCCCGTTAACGGCGGCTGGTGTTGAGGATCTTCATTAAACACAAACGATGGCGTGGCCAGAGATTTCGATTATGTTTTTTTTTTTTTAAAGGAAATGTAATTATGATGTACATACCCCCTTTATTTAAACCAAAGTTAGATCGCCTTCAAAGTAAAATGACAAAGGCTTTTTTAAGTCCTCGCCAAATCCCCCAAACTGTCTTCACAGCAACTGCCACCAGCCTGTGCCAGTGCGTGGTTTACTGCAAGGAGAGCTGTGGGGTCTGTATCGGGGGTCTGTATCGCGCCCGCACTTGTCCACTTCTGGGGGGGGGGTGCTGACCTTCCATTCACTCACCCACTGATCTCCCTCCAGCTCTACAGCAGAAAAGTGAAGGATTCAGCAAAGTTAAGTCCTTGTCCTGCCGGGGTTTAAATAAGCCTGAGGGCTTGCAAATGCCCCAACTCCCACGGGGTGGAGGGGGCGCTGCTGAGGTCCTAGGGCAGATGAGAGCGATGAACGCCACCCCCCACCCCCGCTCACCCGCTCCACGTGGCCCCCAGGACGTGTCAGGCTCACATCTCAGATGCCAATTTGCCAGAGGATCCCATTGTGCTTTTGATTTCCACCTATTTTAGTCTTAAGGAATCCACTGGGAAGGACGGAAAGGGCTGAGCACCTTGCTCACCTGGTCCCACCTCAAAGCCCGTAGAGGGAACCCCACGGAATCATCTTGTCTTTTGCCTGGACACTCAATCCACGCTAGGAAAGACATCCCAATCCAGGGTGACAAGAGCTCCTAGAGTGAAAATCAGCTTAACTGCCATCTTTTGATTCTAGAGCTGCTTATTAGGATTAGAGAGAGCAAGTCTCATTTCCCGCTTAGTTGATAAACATTAGAAAATTAGGGCTTCCCTAGACTCCTAGAACTTTAAAGCCACAGAACCGAGAGATTCCTCTCTCAGTGTCCCACACGGGCCCTGAGAGGTGAAGCCACTTGTCCAGGTGATACCGGTCTGAATAAATAAGCTCTCATCTCCTTCACGGTCTCCCCTTCCCTTCCTGGCTTGAAATCATGCAACGTCCATTTCCTTTTACTTCTATAGCTCTAACCACTAGCGCCCCTACTTTGTCCAACCTTCGCACTCCCCTGAGATTTTGCTAGTCAAACTGTTTTAACTTTACCTGGAAGTGGCTGTGAAGTGACTGCAGTGACGTTAACACTCTAACATGAAAACACTTGTTTATCAACATTTTATATGCTTTATTGAAAGTTGACAAGTGCAACAGTTAAATACAGTGACACCTTACAACTGTGTAGAGAACATGCACAGAAACGTATGCATAGAACTACTATACAGGTAATATGCAGAAACCCCTACTTCGAAATTCATTAGCTAGAACGGGTCATTTTTCAAAGTATTCAATCAGCTCAATCAAAAGACTTCAGCGAACAGGAATTTACTTCGAGATATTCAGCAACTAGAAGATTTCGGATTACACAAAGTGACCGATGGTGGCAAATTCTTAAAATTTCTTTTAGGTGTGTGTTTTCTTCGTGTCGCTTTTTTTTTTTTTTTTAACGTAGATCTCTATAGAAAAGACAAACCACACCTCTTCAGACAGCCAATGAAACATCTAAATTTCAATCTGTACAACCTATAATAGTAGTTACAGTCCTCTATTGTACAAAATAGTTACACTACATACACAAATATACAATAAGCAAAACAACCTTCATGGTAAGAGAGCCTAGGTCCCAGCTACCTGTCACCATTTTAGTCGCTCTAAGAGTTTTGTGTCGTCCGCTGTTTCAGAAAGAGGCACAGTACTATTGTTTTATGGATTTTTGGTGACAGTCGTCAATGTGTACGATGAACTATGTTTCCCCTCATCTTAGGTGAGACTACGCGTCAGTCTTTACTTTGACCTCCTTTTAAGTTCCTCATGGGGGAGAAGAGAGGAGAAAGTCCAGTGGAGCCCCACTGCTTCAAACCCCATGGAGTACACTACGTGCAAGCAGGAGAGAACTCTCGGGAGCGGGGAGGGGGTGCAGGGGAGGGGTGGAAAGGCACACAGCTCCTCAGCATGAATGAAACCACTTCTTTATATTATCTGCCAAGCTGCATGAGGTCCCAGTATCTCCATGCTAATTCTCTGATTAACCTTTAATTCACCCAACTAAGAAATGTCTTCAAGCCGAAAGCGTATGAGTGTTTAATACTGGAAAAAAGAGACAATGGCATAGGTCAGTCTCACTTCTCTTTCGCAGCAAGCAATGAAATGGGTGACTGTGGAGGCGGATCCGCCCTAGCACATCTTCTCCGGGTCTGTTCAGTTCAGACAGCAGCAGCCAGTTCTTCGCGGGCAGAGGAGGCTACGCGGTTGGTCCTGAGCCCTGGGACGCTGGCTGGGCCGGGGGCTGCGTGGCCCCCTGTGGCTGTGTGGTGGCAGGCGGGGAGCCAGTCTGCAGCTGGGCCTGAAACTGGGCGAGCTGCTCGGGGCTGGCCAGTGTCTTCAGCAGATTGTTTTCCTGCTCCAGCTGAGAATTTTTCTCTATTAGTTCTTTGATTTGCTCTTTGAGGACCTCCACTTCCTCTCTAACCGCATACATCAAATGGCTTTTCACCAGATCCTGAAAGGCAGAGGTGGGGGGGGGGGGAGAGGAGGAAAGAAAGGGGTTTAGCTTATTATTTCCCAGATTCCGAATCTCTAAAGCATTATTTTGCCCGATTCTCCAAAAACTATGACCGTATCATCCCGCCTTTAGCGGATCCAAGGGGCCCTTGGAGCAATCTGGGGAGTACGACCACGACCGTGCGAAATACTTAGGTCTAACGTACGAGGGGATCGGGCTTTTTAAAAGCCTGTGGGTCCTCTGCGGCCCCGGGCCGGGGGGCGGACACCCGGGCGGGCGCCCACTCCCCAGGCTCCAGGCCCGGGGCTCTGGGAGCCCGGGAGGTCCAGGCCCGCCCTCCCCCGCCCCCTCCGCCCCCTCCGCCCCCCTCGGCACCGGCTGCAGCCAGTTCCTACAGAGCATGTTGCCGCATTTTCCTCCCTCCGCCCCCGCCCCCCCTTCGTGATTAAGCTGACATCACAGAAACCTGGGCCGACGTCGCAGCCAATGGGAGCGCGAGTTATTTATAGCTCCGAATTAAAGGTTCGGAGTTTGCCTAGCAACAGTGGGCAGAGAATCCCGTGAGAAGAGCCACAGGCGCTGCTCCAATAACAAAGAACAGCCAAGGCGGAAATAAAAAAATAGGAGAAATCCAGGCACAAGGCTGAGAAAGACCAAACTTTTTCTCCGGTTCCTCCTCGTCGGGCGGTCGCCTCGGTCCCCGGGGATCCGCTGGTGCGAGGTCTAGCGAGCCCTGGGGGCGCCCACTCTGCACCCCCCCGCCCCCCCCCGTCCCCTAGTGGCCCTTCGGATTCCCGGTAAAGCCACATCGCTGGGGACGTGCCCGCGACCTGAGGGCGCGCAGGGCAGAGGGGCCCTAACGGGATTCCCGAGCACAACCGAGGCCCCGCTGCAGAAGGCCCGGCGTGGTGTGCAAGCGCCGCGGACTGGGCGCCTTTAGTGCCCTGCGGGCCCGGCCCGGCCTCCCTCCGCAGCCGCCTCGGCCTGGGGCCTGCTGCGGCCTCCCGTGGCCTCCTGCAGCCCGGACGGAGCGGTGCCGGCAGCACCGAGAATGCACGCGCTCCATCCCCATCTCGCTTTCTCTACTGTGCCCACATTCCGTGCAAATGATTTTCAATCCGTACATACCATAGCTTGCTCGATTTTGTTGTCAATAGCTACCACACTTGCACCAGAGGAGCTGGAAAAGAGGGGAGGAGGGGGGAGGGAAATCGATAAGTGGAATTTTTATAACATCCAAGACCAAAAAAAAAAAAAAAAAAAAAAAAGGACTTCCCAGTTCTGGGAGGTTACTAGCATCGGTTTTTGCACATTCCACAACGCTAGGTAGGATCTCGACCTCCGGCAAACACCAGCCACTCTCTTACTAACGAATATTTCCAGACATTTCCCTATTTCAGCGAGCCACAAAAGGCTAAATTACATAATGTGGTTTGAAAAAGAAAAAAAAAAAAACACAAACGCCTGCTCTCTGGCCAGACCTGCGAAAATAAGGCTATTCTAAGCATTTCGAAAAGCAACATCCGTGTCAGCGTCGTCGTCCCTCGGCAATGGACAAAGGAATTCGCCTGGCTATCTTTCACCTGCATTATCAGAAGTATCTCACGAGTAAACGTAAAGAAACTCTCCCAGCCGACATTTACCTATTGTCAAGTCTCACAGAGGCGTTTTCAGTCCCCAGCAAGGATGACAAGAAAGAAATTGAAAAATGTCTCAGTTGGTAAACTCCTAGATCCATCGCCACTGGTCTACACCATTGGGATTTCATGCAATTGCAGCCAAAAACACCCTCGCGGAAGAAAAAAAGAATCCAAAAAAAAAAAAAAAAAAGGGAATACCAAGCAGCCTTGTTTGAGCTAGATTAAAAAAATAATAATAAAAATTAAAAAGAAATCTTCTAAGCTTTCCTGTAGCCCAGGGAGAAACAGAGAGCAGCTTCCCTAGTTTCAAGGAACCCGGCTTCTGGGGCTTGGCGATCCGGGAAGATGCTGCTGCTCCCCGCGGCTGCGCCGAGAAGCCTCGTAGGGCGGCGGGCGGCGGGCGGGCGGGCGGCACTCGGGCTACGGCCGGCTCGGGCTCGGCGCCGCATATAAGGAGGAGCGGGCCGCGCCGATTGGCCAGCGCCCGCCGGGCCCGCCCCTCGCCCCGCCCCCCGCGGAGGCCCCGCCCCCGCCCCAGCCCGCTCTCCGGGTGGGCTGACCCAGGCCGCGGGGAGGGGGGCGCCCGCCGAGCGCCCGGGCCGCGCAGGCCTCCGCACCGCCCGCCGAGGGCCGGGCCACCGAGGGGCCCCGAGGCGGCAGCCGGTGCCCCCGCACGTGCTTACGTTAGAGGCCGCGGGACCCCGTCCCCGGAGCTGCCGGTCCCCGCGGCGTCCCGACGGCGAGCGCTGCCTGTTTGCAACCGGAGCCCTGCGACCTACTGGGCATGCCCAGTCCCGCGGGCTCCGGGCGCCCGCTCGAGCCGCTCGATTCCCATTATCTGGTTCTTACAGGCGACGGGACGGGGAGGCTGCCACGGGCGGTTTCATTTATAGGGACACTGACCGTACGGCGATAGGGACTTTTTAAAGAGGTGGGGAATTGGGGACGAGAAAAAAAAAAAAAAAGAAAGAAAATCACATTTGCTTTTTTGAGGGCTACTACCTTTTTCATGGATTTATTGCTTGTAGGAGCAAAACAAAAAACATTATGTATTATTCTCTGCTTGTTGGCATGGATCTATTGAGGCAAAAAGGAACCCATCAGATGGAAGTCAGGCAGCTCTTCCCAAAATGTCCCTAGAGCCATAAACCTTAAAATCCCATTTCCCTCCTTCCATTTATAGCTAGAAAACTCAAGCCACAGGTTGAATCCTACCTTGATCTGTGCTCAGTGAGTCCCTAAAGCAAGTGTTTAGTAGTGCCCATTCCTGTAAGTCTCAACCTTGAGAGCCTTCTTACATCAGAAGGATCGAAGTATTATAAAGTTAAGTATTTCAACCCTTTATGGCCATACTGACCAAGTAATTCCCGTCCCCAAGCCAAAATCAAGAGATCTGGGTGTAAAAACGCTTAACCTATTGCTTATTTCATCTATTAATTTAAAATATTTGCAAGGATGCATCAGTTGAGGCTGCAGTTGAACGTACATAAAAATCTAAGGCTTTAAATTTGCTTACTATAGATTCTATGGTTTGCAAGTCAATATTAGTCAAGAAAGCAAATTTAACCTCTACAATACTGCCCTCTAATGGCACCAGCCTATAAAACCACAAACAAAAAACTACAAATAGTGAAGACTCCTCTAATCCATAGGCACGTTGTATCATCACAATTTCAACGTAAAATTTGACCACAGAACATATATATGTAAATATTCTATTTACGCACATACACACAGTCTCTTCTGTCTCCAACAGGCATTCTCTCAATTTCGCATCCTTCAATCCTCAGCTACCTTTAATTTAGGACATTTTAATTGCCAGAAGAGACTTTCAGACATTCTTTTAAGTTGACCCAGTCTGCCAGGGAGCATTTGGTCCTAGAAGTGGTCTAAAGGAATTAGGGACCAAGTCTGGTAAATGAGGTAGATGACGACAAGGACACAATTCTCTTTTGGGTTGAAAACCTGATTGTGACTAACATTGCCTTTTATTACAAGGTCATAATATTCTCCAAATTTTAAGCCTTTGCTTCTGAATTACAATGTTTGTTAGCATATTTGGAATTTACAAACCTTGATATATATACTATCTCAAATGAAAAATTTATTTGAGGCAGGCACCCATTTTCAGTATAAAGAAACAGAGGCTTAAAAGTCAGTAATTTGGAAACCAGGGATGTGTGGTTCCTCTGTGAGTACTAGACAGATTTACTACACAATAGTTTCTATATTTTGAAAGTTAAAGTTACCATAAACTATCTATGTAATTAAACCATTTACATATTTGAACTGCACAGGACAAATTATTAAAGAAAGCATCATCTTAAACTGTAAAAATGATCTTTAAAAATGAAATCCTATGGTCAAATGAAGAAATGAATTTAAAATTCCCAGCTGAAGCCTAAGATTATGAAATTACCTGAATTTTATTTATTTGTGATTTCTTGAACACAAACATTAAGAAACAAGCTGGTTTTGCTTCCATTTCATTTGTTTCAACAGATCAACTGGTGGATTACGCTACAGAAGCCAATATAAGCCATCACAGTCTATTTAACCAATAAATAGGGACATTATGATCATCTCCAAAACTTGGCTATTTTAAATAAAATTGCAAGAGATCCCTTGTACGTATATCTTTGATCATTTGTCTATATATTTTATATTTCTGGAGTACTTGCAAGGCCAGAGGATAGAAAAAATTCCCCCAGATTATTAGAAATCTATTGCTTTTCATATTTTTTTTTACATAAATGTGCTAGATTCCTTTCAAACTAGATTTTTATATGCAGGCTGGAAAGTTAGTTTGAAAAAGACAAATTAACTGAAGGAAAGCTCCATGGAGGGGAAACCCATGGGTCAGAAATGTTGGAGGCTCAAAGCTAGAATTACTTTCAAAGATACTTCTCTTTGTAAGACAAAGCATCTATGAATCTGTTGAGCCCAGTCAAGCTCAACAAAGACTAGCTGATAGGACAGGGAAAACACTGCCTCCCTGAAGGCATGGATGACAATGGCCATCGTCAGGCACTGGGCAGAGATCAGGTCTCACTCCAGTGGAGAATCTGGAGCACAGGGAACAGCCTGAACGTTACAGGTCGGCATGTTCTTTATTGTTGTTTTTATTTTTCTGTTTGGTTTGTTTTGGACTCCAGTCCCATCCCCTGTGCCTGTTGGTAGCCTGCATACTAGGATGCGAGACGAGGAGCAGAGGCAGGGCCTGTGTTCCTAATTCAGTAACGCCTGCTTTTTTCTTCTAAGCTTCATCTGACCTGGCCAATATAGATAGGTACAGTTGGAGATCCACCACTCAAATAGGATAACTTGTTTCTTCCTCTGTCCAAACTCCTCGCAAATCTAAAGTGACTGCCAAGGAAGACACTAAAGCATACCACCCTGTGCCTAACCAAATCTTGTGGTCCAGGAATGGCCAGTTCACTCGCCCTAGGAGTAGGGTGGCTAGGTACAGCAAATAAAACTCAGGACTTCAAACTAAAGGTGAATTGCACATGAACAACAAATGTTTTGTGTTGGGTCCCCCACTCTGTCAGAATAAGAAACAATTCCAAAGAAATCAACACAAAAATTCAGCCGTATTTGAAATGTCCTTGACTTCCACAGAAAAGTTATAAAGATGAGAAAAATCTTCTAAAAAGTAGAATAAAATAAAAAGAGACAGAGTTGAGAAATAAGAAACTAAAGGGATAAATCTAGGAGGTCCAATATCAGAATCAGATGATTCCAACAAAACTACGGAACGAAGAAATAAAGAATTTTTCCTGAGCTGAAGGGCACAAGTCTCCGGCCTAAATGAGATGACCAAATGGCCACCACAATAAATGAAAAAAGCCCTACACAAAAGCACATTCATCATGAAAGTAAAGATCTTGGGACAAAGAAAATCCCAAAAGCTTCCAAGTGGAAAAAACAAGTTGTAAAGCACAGAAACAAATATCAGAATGGTTTTTGCTGGCTGCCAGACAACATTCGAGAAAATTCTGAGAGAAAAACGTGCTCACTCGGCCAAATCATCACTTAAGTGTAAAGGTAGAACAACTTTTCAGATACCAAAGTGGAGGAACAAATCAGGCAAAGGGTTGAAATTTTTAAAAAGAAGGAATACTGTGTTTTCAAAAGGAAAAAGAGAAAAAAAGTATAGGAAACATGAACCAGCGACTCAAATGCTGGAGAGAAAGAAGGGAGGGAACCCAAAGGATGATGGGGAAGGAAATCTCAAGATGACAGCTGCTAAGCAAGCCTAAGCAGCACCTGACCTGTATGGGTGCAGAGAGAAGGGAGCCTCTGGGAGGGAGGGCTTTGGGGGAGGGAATAAACAGAGATGATCCACCAGGTCTGAGCATTGGCAGAGGGGAGCTACAGTCAGGTGTATGACAGATCTAATGGACCGACTGGGTAAGTTCAAAGCAATTTTACAGAAAACAAAAGCAAGAAAAAACTACTATGCTAATCAATAGAATTTACATGCCTATATTAATTTTGAAATGTTTTATTAGTTTAAAAAGTTAACTGCATTGGGAAG